AGGGGTCAAGGGAGCCAGATCCCACGTGGTCTATCATAGTTCAGATCCCAGCCCCTCTAGCTTGAAACATGCCAGTGTGTGTGCAGGCATGCCCCAGATCCCAGGACAGAAATCAGACGGGGTGTGGGGTGACCATGCCCCATCAGAGTGTGTGTTCTCCCGCTTTGTCTGGCAAGTATGTGCGCCCTCTGGCAATCAAAAAAATAATTTCAGGGGCCAGCAGGTGGCTTGGTGGTTAAGGTGCCAGACTCCCACATGGCTGACTGTGGTTCAAATCCTGGACCTGGCAGCTTGCTTACTCTCTCTCTCTCTGTCTCTGGTCAAAATGAATAATAAAAATTAATAAATAAAATAAGTATTTTTAAATAAATACATTTGAAAATTTTATTTAATTATGCTTGATACTGATTACTAACTAGAAGTCAGTATTCATGAGAGAGAAAATAGACTTAAGATATGTCCGCATAAGAATTGGAAGGTAGAGATTACCTCTGAGCAGCTCAAGACTCGGTCACAGAGCATTGTCACTGTGTGCCCTCTGCCTGTGAGGACTGGAGGGAGATAACACTTGGTGACCAAGACACAGCTCTGCTGTTGTCACGTTGTCGTGAGGGCCTGTCTTAGGGTCCGGCAAGACACAGGCAGAAGTGGTGAGGGATGGCTGATGACCGAGGAGTGAGCACGTTCCACCTTTAGTGGGGAGAGGTGTTGGATTTGCTTGTTAACAGGGTTGGTGCATAATGGTTTTCGCTGAAGCCCCTTTGAGTTCCCTGAGAGTCCTGGTTATAGCTGTCCTTTCTGTCTCTAAAAAGTCTCTAACCGTGCATTTCTTTTTTCTTTTCTGTGATATGTTTATGTACATGAAGACGTCTGAGTAGTTTCTAATCCACTTTTTCTTTTTAGAACCACCACCACCTAAAATCCCTAAAATTGAGACCTCTCACCCACCGTTGCCTCCAGCCCACCCACCTCCAGGTCAGTGTCACTGAAGCAGCTGGGCCGCTGTCCTCGTTCCTTGTGAGAAGGACAGGCGTGGGAAGTCCCAGGGAGGCCTATAGAGCAGGGATGTGGGGCCAGAGTCTGAAAGATAGCGACAAGCTAGGAACTTTCCAAAATTCTTATTTTCACAAATCTGATATTGTGAGGATGTTAAATTGTTTAGGACATTGAATACTCTCTGACATCCCAACACAGGGTGAATAATTTCAGGTCAGTGTTAGGAAAACAAAACCCTGCCAACTGGTGGACTGTCCAGCGCCTGCAGGATGGCTGTGGTGTTGCACTCAAGCCTCCTGTCAGAGGTCAGCTCCTTAGTGTATTCTGAAGGACGATCAGTCCTCAGAGTCGCCGGGAGAACAGGCCAGAGTGAACATTCTCACAGGCTTGGGGTCATGGGAAGCCTCTCAGCACTAGAAGTAGAGGCGAAAAGCTGCGACGTGTGTGTCATGTTTTACAGACTGGCACCACTTTGGGAGGTCCGGCATTAGACTAGAGAAAGCAGAAGTGATTGTTTCTAGGGGCAGTGGACAGTCCAGAGGCCTCGCTGCACTGCGGGCCGGTGTGCGCTGACCGCCAGTCACTCTGCCAACTGCATGGCTCATGGGCTGTGAGTCTGTGGCACACGTACCGCCGAGAGGACTGTTTCCTGTTGATGTGCAGTTGCTGTAGATTACACGCTTTGAGGGAACAAAGGCATCATTTTCCATTTTGGAACAAATCCCACAGTCCTCAGTTCCATGTGGTCCGTGCTTAGAAAGAGAGCTCTCCCTGACGAATGCAGTGCCCTAGCTCCTGGCCTGCCAGGGGGCACTGAACACCACAGGAGCTCCCACCATGGATGGCCAGCTGCAGGCCTGGGGGGAGCAGGACCTGAGAGCCATTGAGGGAGATCAGGCACCTCCAAAGGCAGAGGCCAACACACGGGGGGCAGGAGGGTGGGCAGCACGAGCTCACTGAGGTCCCCAGAACCATTTTGTACTTGTCTGATGCAGACGGATCGGAGCAGGAGCAGGAGGCTGTGGTGTCAGTGAAGGAGGGAGAGCCACAGTCCTGTGAGGCCTAGGACGACAGGGATGAGGCGTTAAGGTCAGCAGTGATGTGCAGGAGGGCGGCACGTGGCAGTGTGTGGCAGCCAGCTGTCAGGGGCAAGTGTGCAGGAGACACGAGGCCCCAGGAGAGACCCCTTTCTGTTCAGCTCAGGCACAAGGACAGGTGGACGCAGCGGTGACGGACAGGCCGTGGGGCCCAGGGGCCATGGACTGACCCACAGGAGGCGTTGAAGGGATGGCACTTGTGTGTGCACGTCTCTGGTCAGCTTCTAGGACCACAAAGCACCTGGCCTTGACCCAGAGCCTCAGCAGACCCTCCCTCTATGATGTGTCTGACCTGACATGGCGGGGGGGTGCTGGGTGTCACAGGCAGGCCCCAGTGATGTGGCTGTGACTGACCCGAAACCCTGGTGGCCCTTGCTTTGGCAAGAACAGCAGGTTGTGTGCCTTGTGTCCACATCTGCACCACCGGAGTGGTCTGTGTGCCTTGCCTGACTGGGACAGCATGCATGGGGTCAAGCGCTTGGGTACCGGAAGCCCTCTCCCTGGTCTTTGCTTCTGTTTGTCATCTCTGGAGCCAGAAAGTTTGCTCCGCCGCCTTGGGAAAGGACACACGTCCTAAGTGGCTACTATAGTGGGGCATTCTAAGGTCATTTTCCAGGGACCTGATTGTGACTGAGGGCACAGGCCAAAACATGTTAGGTGAAGCTTTGGGAGAGGGGGTGCGAGGGACCTGAGCTGTGGGGACAGCGTTTGGGGGCAGGACTGGGGCTACTTCCATGCCCAGGAGTGTCTCAAATGCTGCACACGCACACCCGCTGTCCTAGGGGCGGCGCAGCGGACCTTGGTCTCATTTTGCTGCTTCGGTGGGCCCACTGGGAGTGCCAGAGACCTGAACAGTATTTTTAACTGCACCTCATTCATGTGACCAGCGCTCAGGCTTTCTGCAAGTGCCAGCACAGCAGACAGTACTGCCATGTGGCCTGGTCACAGACTCAGCCTTGGGGACAGCAGGCAGAAGGACCGAAGAGCACCCGCACATCTTGGTGCTGAGAGGAGCTGGGCCAGGGCACAAGGGGCCTCGGGGCACCGGCACAACTGCCAGTAGCTAGTGTGGTCGGGGCTGACGGGGTGCCCAGGTCGTCGGAGGTGGGTCTGGTGTGATGGGGGCTGGCTCCCTACCTGTCTGTGTAGACAGCCCAGGAGACCCGGGAGGCAGAGTTGGGACGGCTGGGCACCCACACATCTCTCTCCTGCAGACCGCAAGCCTCCCCTCGCCACTGCCTTAGGCGAGGCAGAGCCTCCAGGCCCGGTGGATTCCAGCGACCTCCCCAAAGTCCAGATCCCTCCTCCGGCCCACCCGGCACCTGTGCACCAGCCACCACCGCTGCCACACCGGCCACCGCCACCGCCCCCCTCCAGCTACATGACCGGGATGTCCACCACCAGCTCTTACATGTCGGGGGAGGGCTACCAGAGCCTGCAGTCCATGATGAAGACCGAGGGCCCTTCCTACGGTGCCCTGCCCCCTGCTTATGGCCCACCGGCTCACCTTCCCTACCACCCACATGTCTACCCACCAAACCCACCCCC